TCATTTCCGTTCTATCGATCAGAAAAGATCAATAATATCAATGATTTCAACGTACACAAATCAATAATAGGTTTGTTCCGATGCGCTAGCTCATTAGCTACAACATAAATCCTGTTAGAGAGCATAGTATGAATATTTACGCTCATTGTTCTCAGAACAAAAGAAGCGCTCCTAGCGAATCCCCTTTTTCTACGTTTATCTGTAGGACGAAGAAAATCTAATGGCGTTTCAATGCGTTAGGACGGAATTGAAACTCGTAGAACGAATTTAGAATCAAGAAGCAGTGTTAGATTTTAGACAATATGTCATCAATTTGTGACTCTTTATCAAATCCATGGAAAGGTGTGTATGGAAAGGTGAATAAATTTGCAAGTCATATTTGACAGAAATATTATATTTTTTGTTTAAACTCGTTCAGCAAAGAGAGGTAAAGCACAGGTTGTGCTTAGTAGGACGGAAATTAGATCAAAAACCCTATTCTAATTTAATATTTGCGTTTTCAACTAGTTTACAAAAATACCCCTTTTGGGGGTGTTTGTTTGAATTTAAAAATTTAATAACCTACCTACGAGTATAACATAACCTAACGTGCTAGATCAACTATGATCTGATGATCTGATCTCAAACAGGTGTCTCTGAACCTTTCTAAGAAGACCGTTCTTCACTCTTCTAAAGTCTGAAGACCAGTCAAGCGGTGGACCTCAATTACGGGAAGGATGTTTCGCTTGTAGACAGCAAGCTTGCCTTTCAGGAACATAGTGGATCTCCTGTTGATGAGCGGATGCAGGAATCTCATCAGGATGTTGCATTTTGTTTCCGTTTCGTTGGACCATTCCACCACTGTGCCGTTTTAGTTGATCTTTTTATTCTCAAACGGAATAAATCTGGGAGATTTGGAATAAGGAAATATGATGACCTGGGTCTTCACCACGTTTATACGGTGCTTCCAGCTGTTGAATAATCAGACATGGCATCCAGTCCTCTCTGAGCTTTCGCAGTCAGAGCTCCGATGACCTTACCCTTATAGACGATGGATGTGTCATCTGCGAAAAGGAACAACGGTTCACCATCAGGGAGAGCCGGAATGTCGGAGGTGAACAAGTTGAAAAGGATAGGTCCAAGGATGTTTCCTTGTGGAACGCCCGCACCGATGTTGAAGGCATCCGATGTGATGCCATTCAGAGAGACTCGAAATATCCTGTCCGATAAATAGTTTTTTTATGATCTTCACAAGGAATATTGGAAGACCGTATAGCTGCAATTTGTAGACCAGACCATCGTGCCAGACATTATCGAACGCTTTTTCAACGTCCATCACTGCCATGGCAGATGTTTTGGATACAGACTTGTTCCGTCTGATAATGTTTGTCACTCGAGTCAACTGGTGAACAGTCGAGCGACCTTTACGGAAGCCAAACTGTAGACTGCCCTTTCGGTGGTAGACTGCCCTTTCGAACAGGTTAGACAACCCCGAGAAAAGGCTGATGGGTCGGTAGCTTGAAGGTGAGGACGGATCTTTCCCAGGCTTTCGGATGGTGATGACTTTAGCTGACTTCCAGCACAAGAGGAAGTAGCCAAGTCTGAGGCACTGATTTAAAATCAGTGCCAGTTGGTTGGATAATCTGAAACTCAAGTGTTTGAGCTCTAGATTCAGAATTTAGTCGAATCCTGGGGCCTTTATATTTTTAGATGATTTGATATAGGCCAACAGCTCGTCGGCCGTAACCTCGGATTCCACAGGAATATTTTTGGGAATTTGATGGAAGTTGACTGCATTTTCAACAACCGCAGTCGTATGGGCTTGCCATGTTCAGTTCGAGATTATGAGAGCTGACGAAGTGTATCATCAGCCTTCTCTTTAGAGGTTTCCTTATGGGCGACTGAATCATTGGGTTGATTCAACGGTACAAGAGGTGGAATGGGCCTTGGTCGGATCTTATTGGCAAAATCGTTATTTATGAGATCCACCATCGATGATCTTTGCCCAGAACGCTGGTATTGCCTACGAATGGTGCTACGGAGCCTAATGAGATCTTTGATAGGGCTGTCAAGGATCAGAGTGTTACTCAGTTGCCTGAATGCTGGCACGTGTTGTTCCCTGGCCCGGGATATTGTCTCCTCGATAGTTTTCAGACACCGGTCATCGTCTTCGGACGTCTCTGGTTCGATATCGTAGTCGATGGTTGTGTCGACGCAGTGTTGATATTGATCCCAGTTGACACGATGGTAGTTGCGCCGGGAAGCTTCGAATCGGTTCACCGAGGAACCAACTTCGGCCACCACCTGAGTTCCTGGTAGGTGATAGGTGATAGGTTGAGCGATGTTGGTGTCCATGTTGCTGATGAAGATATCGATGGTGTCGTGAACACCATACCGACTCAACCGTCCGGACTCAAGATGTTGTACTGCGCTTCTTGCAGGTCGATGTTCAGGATGGTGCCGTTTTGATTGCGTCAACGGTAGCACCAAACTTGATGTTTGGCGAGCAGGTCACCAGCGCGTTTCGGTGATGATGGCGATATCGATGTTTCGCTCGTTGAGGAATTCAACAAACTCGATGCTCTTGCTCCTGAGCGAGCAAGCGTTCCAATTGGCCATTTTGATGGCGTCACGGTCCTTACTTAATGATGGCAGCACAAAGCTGTTCTGTTCGGGTCCTACCTCTGTCACGAGCATAACAAGTTCCGCCGTTGAGAGCAGACTGTCTGCATTCTCGATCTATGGTGAAGGGGAAGCACCACGATAGTCCCCGAAGTGGAGAGGTGCTTCGGGATGCAGCGACGACTTGAGTTTACTGGAGTGTTATACACCCCAGCTGTTGGCGGGACCGAAGCAGCATTAGCAGCAGCAGCCAAACGGTTGTTGAGTGGAAGCGGCAGATGAACCGGAATCGGACGCCGTTGGGTAATGGCGGGGAAATTCTGCTCATTGCGTGCCGGAACCTTCTTCCGACTTAGCTGGTCTAGCGTGGAGGCCCTTTTGCGGATATCCATGAATTCCGCACGTTTTGGACAAGACTTTCTGGTAACCTGATGAGCTACACCACAATTGACGCATTGTGAATCAGCTCCCTCCATTCTTTCGCATGCTTCGGGTGCGTGTTGCTTGCCACAATTGTAACGTAAAATAACAGAAACGTGTTTGCATGTTTTTTTTGGGACCCCAAACTTATGATCGGGAGTGTATATATTAATTGTCCGGTAAAACATCCCGATGTAAACCAGGAATTAAATACCACGCATCAGTGCAATAGATATTGATGTTGATTTTCGTGCTAGTTAAGTAGTCAATTACTTCCCACGACCATGTAAAATCCCAGCACTGCCCATGACTTACTAAGAAATTAACTGTTTTTCAACGAATTTTCATCTTTACCTTTACATGTCATTACACAACATTTAATTCTTGTCGGATTATCACAAAATTATGCATTTTAGGCAAAATATAAAAATATTAATTTATAAAAGAAAAACTACAACCGGCTTCGTCCCACTGTGCCTTGGCGCCTTCTTCAGCAGAATTTCCAATCAACGAGCCCATCGTAAATCGAACAGGAATCAATTATTTAGTCCGATGGAGATGTTCTCCCTGTTCAATTTGCTTCCGTTTTGCTCGTAATTAATTGAACCATTTCATCTTGACTTCATTTGCCCAGTTCGAATCAGGTATCAGACTTTCCCGATTCCAAAGTTTCCTGGCAAAGTTAGTAAAAGTCATCTCGTCTCTAGAACTTTCCGATATCGTTTATTTTCGACTTTCAGCTTTGTAGTTACCCTCCTCCTAGCCCTGCACTCTATCAGGCAAACGAGAAGGGAGTGAAACTTTGAAAGAGGGTATCTTTCTCACTTGACTGCAAAACTACTGGGATCATGGTGAATATTTTGTATATTCCGTAAAAGTAAAAGGAAGTGAGAAAACTTGGATCACATTTCAAGAGAATTGTTTCGTTTGTACACACTTCAAACATGGGGTGGTTCTGGGTGCAACTTACCATAAGCAAAAAGGTTAATTCTCAAGCAAATAGTTAAATCGACGGATGCAAATACTTTTTATAAACAATGGCCTCAATCATTGCTAGATAGAGCTGGAATTAAGGCGTAACAGCTTTTGTACACAATGACTTCTCTCGACGATTTCTAGGAATTCAAGTCACGCCCACGCAAACCAACATAACCATCAGATAGGGGAAGTCTTCTCCTATCCGATAGTGATGTTGATTTGCGTGGACGAACCTTGACTTTCTAAAAATCATCGAGAGAAGTAATTGTTATCTAGATTTATTTATTAAAATTGGTAGCTCGACCATGCAAACTAACGCACCACCATCAGGAAGGTGAAGGTTTTCCCTATCAGTTGGCAGTGGTAGTTTGCGTGGACGAGCAATTAGTGGCTATAAATTGACGTTTGAATCCAATAATTACAAAAATACTCACTACGATTTACTTATTTGCTCGGAGGTCCCCTTTTTTCGGAAAATGCTTCCAAAACCATTGAAAGACTCTAGATTAATCCTCATACTGTACCTTGGGTTCAATTTGACCTCAGAGCACATTGACTGGCTGGAACTTTCTAATTTGGCAATCAATTTGTCACTATAGAATATGATTAGGTGTGTCCTTTCAAAATATGTAATACTAGATTAAAGGCTTTCGGTGAAATGGCGTTCGGTGAATTGGCATTCGGCCAAATTTTCCATAGTATTTTTTTTTGCCCCTCCCTAGCTCAAAACCTGGCTACCCCCTTGCCTTTTTAGTCTGTCTTTTTCGTATGATGTTTACTGTGTTGTTATACTAGCTGTTTATACTTTAGGTTAAGTAGATAATTAAATGTTGAAGCAGCATGATATTCAAGCAATGTTGCTGGGGAACCTGTTTTTAAGACTTTCTACGGCTAAAAATCTCCTAAATAAAGTACATAGAAAGCTCAGCTTCCCCATTCAACCAAGACTCACTTCTACCTTCCACTTCCAAACAGCTAAAAATTTGATTTCATTATTTCAGACTGACTGGATCAATGCCTTGAACGCAATGAAAAAGTTCGGCTCAGATGGAGTCATTCTTTGGGGCAGCTCGTATGATCTCAATAGCAAGTATGTATACCGATCGAACCGATGATTGCCAGATTTTCAATAAACTTATAATTTTTTTTTCAGGCAAAAATGCACATCCTTCAAAACCTACATGGACACAACGCTTGGACCCATCCTTCAATCCCTTCAGCAGCGATACTTCGTCGAAGGTCTCAAAATGAGGGATGATCCATTGTAGTAAACAAAGAACAACCGTCAGCGACTTTACAAACTGAAAACCAACGGCAGTATTCATTGCACCTTGCACCAAATAAAAAAAAAATGAAAACATCCATGTGATCGACAAATCCAAATCATACCATTCTAGAGTGTAGACTTCTTGTAGTAGCTAAGACCACGTATTAAATTCTTTTTATATGAGCAGCAGATATTTTAGGAATAAAATGTTCAAGTGAAGTATTTGCACTTCAAATCCCTAGCAATCGTCATTCGATCCTGGTAAAAAGTGGATCCAATTATTATCGACGTAAAAAAAACCCCCATTTTCTCCGGTGATTTATGTTGGCGAAGATGGTATACACTCATGCTCGAATTTCTCAACAGCAAGACACCGAAAACAAAACCCATCGTCGCTATTTCCAAACGAATGGGATATGTTCATTTCCCATAAATGGTTGAAAATTGATGCGCTTTTCACTTTTTGTCTCAGCCAGGGCTCCCTCCGTCAACATTCGTCACGGATGATACTCACTAGACTGATGCAGAATTTAAAATTTTCGCTACACGGTGCACAAATGGTTCTAAGGTCCTAAAAATTGAGCTCATTTGGTAACAAACTGACTTGGCACAAACCGTTTGAAGTTTATATGGGAATTCCTATGGGAAAATCATTTTATTTTCATTGTCTTCTAGCCTTTTTAACACTGCACCGATAAAAAGAGCTGTATCTATTCTCATGGGAAATTTTCTCAGCTACAATTTTGCGGAAAACTGTTTTTCAGCCAAACGTCAAATTAAATAGTTATTAGTTGTTTAAGAAATTCATAATCTTATGGCATAATCAAGCAGCTGTTTTGTGGGCAACACTGTATTCTGCACACACTATTCTACGCGCTAAAAACACCAATGTTGCCTACTGAGCATTTGATTGAGCATAATCATACTTGGCACTGATGAAGTCTGCAAGTAGTATAGGAAATACGCGTATCTGTCAAAAGATAAGCAATTATAACGGAATTTAAAGCATATAATCCAACACACTCAAATCTCTTCATAAAGGAATTCCGTTAAGAGGTTTGACAAATTTAAAGGATTCATAATCATAAGACATCAGCAACTTGAATCATACATAACTCTTGTTCTTTACATTTTATCGAAAGTGGTGTTCAACAAAGTTGTAGCTGAAAAAATCCGTGCTTGTTGTTATACTTTTTCAAATCAAAGTTATATGGTGAACTGTTAGGGGGGAGGTAGCTCATCGATTCTTCCGGTTCGCCTCCTAGCATCGTGCTATAAGGTACCAGGCGATAACCAGGGTAGTTGATCGATAGCTCGATGACGTCATTTCGTTGGCGTCTGTAATGGGAAATTCTCATAGCAGGCGTTGACGATGGGACGTTGTCGAGTTGTTGAACAGCAACTATCGTGGTAACTCACCGATTACCTGTCGATCTGCCAAATTTGGAAAGACGTCTGCATTGAATTGTCTCATATAATAATATTCCGCCCACTATATCACAAGAAATTGTGAGTAGCTGAGTGGAATGGAGATAAGTTAAGCATTGGGTATAGGACCTATAGGACCAAGTCTCTCCTGGGTGGTGCAAGAAGATGAGCGCAATAGAATCATCAAGTTGCCCTAAGGCACGGAATGAGACTATTGCATGGCGGGGTAGTCAAAGTCTTCCATCCGTTAGTCATTTCAGGTGGATTAGAACAGGTTTAGGTTTAGGGTGGGCGTTGGCCAGATTTGGATTTTTCAGATATAATCCTAAATAGGACCTAGATTATTTAATACACTAGTAACCTCAACTTCTGTCACAATGTTTCATTGTGACTAATCAACACTCAATGGGTAAAATATCAAATTTGCGGTAAATTTGAAAAAAAGGTAACTTGGAGTGTAGAGCGCACTGCCCACTGGACGATTCTGAAGCCTGACCAATATATATAGATACATTCATACCATTGGCATTTTGTATTTGAGATAAGACAGAGACAGGATGCGGAGGGCTCGCTTAGGGGGAGCGTAACCCATGTTATGGCTTCCATTTATTAAATAGTTCAGATAGGCTGGAAATGACAGGTTCATGTCGAGAAAATGTACCATATGGTGCCCGTTCACTGATCAAAATTAAATTAGATTCAAATATTCAGGCCCTGCCCTGTAATAATTTTGACGATGATTTGTCAAGTTTCATTTTGCATTTGCATATAACTGTAAGTTTCGGTTTGCTTTTGTAATTGTAAGATAGATAGTTTGGCTCAATTGAAACATTGAGTTGTATAAACTTGACGAATCATACCTCTAAAATAGTAGTAGTTACAGTGCCGCATTATCTAACAACAACTGCCTGCAACTAATGTTGGAGGGGTCAGCAGGGCTGATTACGGATCAAAACTAACATAACTCTAACACTGAAATGATCTCGAAACTAATGAGCGTTAGTCAAAGTTGCACTTTGAGTCATAAAGTAGTTTTATTTATTTTCCTACTAATCTATCTACACACTTAGTTTTTTCTACCGAGCTCGGCTGTGTGGGTCTCGGCGGGGAGGGGGTTTCGCTGAGATCTCGGCGGGAGTGACATTTGATTGCCGAGTCTCAGATAATGCCTTTTCTAATAATCTGCCTACGTTTCTTTTATTTGTTATCTACTTCATCCCTTTTTTATTTGTCTGCTCTTCTTTCCTCTTTTCTCCTTTTGTTTTGTTTGTTTACATATAACTAATACTAATACCTCCTTGTTTTCTCTCTAATTTATCTACTATGTCCCACCATCACGATGAGAGATGAGCTACCGTACATGGTACACGCTCATATACACTCCCAAAATAGTATGCCGCAAGTAAGTATATCACAGAGGCAACTAAAGATCCAGAAACGAAAACCGATAACGCTGAAGATAATGAGCTGTGGTCATTTATATGACTAAAAAGTATTATTTATTTATACTACCCTAAACACAACGTGGGGTGACCCAAATCCAAACAATCACTAACCAAAATAATAGACTTATCTTTTTTCAGCAGCACTGCACCAGCCAGCAAAGTTCAACAATCCATCGTTGCTTATGCCTTTGTTGTCGTTTGGAACCAGTTTTGCGAGGTAGGCGACGATTGTGCGTATTTTCCGCGTAACTTTTGAAAAGAGCCTATTTATAGCCTGAACAATACGTAAAGAGCAAATTGAAACATTGAACGTCGCGTGAAAGTGGAACTTAATGAAGGCCTAAGTACTTTTTCGTAGTTTTTAGTTTTCGGATTTGAAAGATCGTCGGTTACAGTGGCCTGCTTACTGAGCAGAAAAACGCGGTCCCAGGTTCTTACATATCAAAGAGATTTATGGTAAAATCGCTTGTGTATCGTGTATTTTGCGAAACTCGTTGTTGTCGTTGGTTCCGGGTTTGAATGGATACACAAATTTGAGCAACGGTATTATGTGATATGAGGGGCTCGGTGGCCTTAGAGCAACCGTTTTTGCTTACTGAGCAGATCATCATGAGTCTAATCTCAGGCCCATCCACATTCAAGATTCGTCAATCGTTTTATTTGTTAATATGACTACATGGTAATAACAGCAACTCGGTGATTAAAAAGGTGCTCGTCTGCCTAGTGGCAAACGTTTTTGCTTACTGAGCAAAAGACCGTGGGTTTAGTCCCAAGCTCCTTCGCGTTATATGATCGTTAGGACATCAATTCAGCTTATCGTTTACCAAAACGAACCCTGCTGCAAACCCAACCCTCTTATCCAACATCCCAGTAATTCCTCGTGGAAGTGCAGAGGTGTTCTCGGCTTCCATCAAAGCGAGTGTCATGTCAACACAATCCTTCCCATTCCTTTCTTGACCTGTGTTCGGGCGCGGCCGGCGCTGGTATTGCCTAATTTAAGATCACCAGTTTTTACACATTGAGGATGATTGCTAGTCCCATGCATCGTCTATTGGTTCTCTGTGTAATTACAGCTGATCTGGCAATAACAGAGTAGCAACCGTGGGCGGTCAATCAAGCTCAAGCTCAAGCAAGCTTAAGAGATTGATAATCTTATGGCATGATCAAGCAGCTGTTTTGTGGGCAACACTGTATTCTACACGCTAGAAACACCATTGTTGCCTACTGACCATTTGATTGAGCATAATCATACTTGGCACTGATGAAGTCTGCAAGTAGTATAGAAAATACGCGTATCTGTCAAAAGATAAGCAATTATAACAGAATTTAAAGGAAATAAACCAACACTAGCTAGCTAGCTTTACACAAAATATTTGGGTTTCTCATACTTACCTTACCCATCAGGCTAAGGCCTTGTTGTCCTCTGCTGTCCGAAGAAGGCGTCTCCACTCTTCTCGATACATGGACACACTTCGCCAGCCTCGTAGTCTGCGAAGGGTCCGCAGGTCGCCTTCTACTTGGTCGATCCACCTTTCCCACAGCGCGCCTCTTCTTCTTTTTCCTGTAGGGTCCCTTTCTAGAACCATTTTCACTGGGTCGTCGTGCGGCATTCTTACGACGTGCCCAGTCCAGCGTAGACGTCCAATTTTTTGCAATGGATGGTTCTCCCAGCAGCTGGTGCAATTCGTGGTTCATTCGCCTCCTCCACGTTCCGTCATCCATCTGCACTCCACCTTCCGTTATAAAACGCGTCCTCCACGAGCATAGTCCAGTTCTCGTGGCCGTAAAGGACCACCGGTCTAATCAGCGTCTTGTAGACAGTCAACTTCGTGCGGCGGCGAATTTTATTCGACCGGAGCGTCCTCCGGAGTCCAAAGTAGACACGATTCCCTGCCATAATGCGTCTATGAATTTCTCTGCTGGTATCATTTTCGGCGGTCACCAGTGAGCCCAAATACACAAACCCGTCGACCACCTCGATTTCATCACCGTCAATCTGAACTCGGGGTGAGAGGCTAACATTGTCTTCCATAGAACCTCTTCCTTTCATGTATTTTGTCTTCGATGCGTTGATGGCAAGTCCAATCCGTCTAGCTTCAGCCTTCAGTCTGATGTACGTTTCCACCATCATCTCAAAGTTCCGTGCCATAATGTCAATGTCATCGGCGAAGCCAAGGAGCTGGATGGACTTCCTGAATATCGTGCCACTCGTGTCTATCCCAGCTCTTCTGATCACACCTTCTAACGCGATGTTGAACAGCAGACACGAAAGTCCATCACCCTGC